CTTCAAACAGTAGTGTACCTATAAGGGCAATCTGATTATTTCGTTTCGTTTTTTTATACTTTCGATGGCCTACACCACATGCCGATCTAACAAGTTGTACTCGAAGGTCGTGTCAGGGGTCGTACGAGTGGCTTTTGACTCTATGACGACAGACATTGATTAATCAATCAGCGTTGACGTTTCTAGTGGTTTACCGACAGTTCCGGGAATGGCACACCAAGACGTCGCCGTAACAGACCGTTTCACTTCAACGAAAACACCGGTATTATAACAACTCTTCCAGATCCTAGTGCAGTAAAGACAAGTAAAACGAAATTTTGTTTTCATCAGATTGCTATAAGGGAGAAGGGCACAGCAGCGCTACGACTTCCTTTTTTTTCAAATTCCAGCTCTCAAGGTTTTTTTTACGTGCACGCCAACGCGTCACCGCTGTTATCTGCCGGACCCCCTGTCCTGGACCACTGATAAGGACAAACCACAAAGGGAAATACCGAGTCACTTTCTCGGTCAACCCCGAGAAGATTCGGTCTGGTTTCAGTTTTATTATAACTGCCATTACGCTGTACCAGGCACCACTTTGGGTCAGCTGTATTGAAAAAAAGTTTTCTGACACAATTTTTTTTACTTTTTTGTTTAACAGCTTAAAGGGGCTAAACCTCTTACTCAATATTATCCATGATATTCGAAACTGAAAACACCAATTAGAATTTAGTTCTGGTCCGTTACGACAATATTGATGTTGTTATTTTACCATGAAAATATCGGTTCCTCATTTAAGACACAGTGAACGTGTTCAAATCAGTACACGAGTCGTGTATTTGTAATGAAAAAGGGAAAACATATTCAAGAAGACAAAGCGGAAGTAATTAAAAATGGCTGAATCACAAATACAGGCGCGGATTTAGATGGGGGCGACCCCGCCCCGCTCTATGAGACCAATTAAGCGCCCCCCCCCCCATGAGACAAAGTCCCCTCAGACTCACTCCAAAATTACATTTTAATCGGACATTTTTTCTGCGCCTACGGCGCTAAAAGCTCAATTACATAAATATTATACGTAGCTGTCTGAAATTTTTGTAATGTAAAAGGGAAAACATATTCAAGAAGACAACGCGGAAGTAATTAAAAATGGCTGAATCACAAATACAGGCGCGGATTTAGATGGGGGCGACCCCGCCCCGCTCTATGGGACCAATTAAGCGCCCCCCCCCCCCATGAAACAAAGTCCCCTCAGACTCACTCCAAAATTACATTTTAATCGGAAATTTTTTCTGCGCCTACGGCGCTAAAAGCTCAATTACATAAATATTATACGTAGCTGTCTGAAATTTTTCGCGCTTACGGCTCAAGCTACATAATACGTTGCTATCTGAAATTTGTTCACGCCTGCGGCGTTCGATTCAATTATAGCATCATTCTTCCTCCACTCCTCTGTGGTCTTTTACTATCATATTCACGGTTATAGTGAACCGCCCACTTAGTAGTACCACTAGTGCGTGGGGCGACAGACTAAACAACAACTTTTGGTCTTCGAAGGAATTATTAGTGAGCAGAAATACGCACATGTATCTGTTATCAATCGTCACTTCAGTCAGTTATATAGAGGGATAACTCGTGTTTTCGTTTTGCGTTCGTCACTTCCGATTGTTCAAGCATTGATTACGCATCTATCGTAGCAATGATCTCTATGATAAAATAATATTTGGAACGTGTTTAACCAGTTCTATCACATATGTGATAATGACTGGTAGCAATATTGTCCTTTAACTCTCACAAAACAGGCGGGATTAACGGGTAGATCTCAAGATTCTGTCTCATTGACTCCCATTTCTGATCCTCTCGTTGACAAAAATTTGGTCCAAGCAATAACATTAAAATCCAGGATATTGACTCAAATTTTCAAAATTTTCTCAGAGGGACAACCCTCCCCAGCTCCCCCCCCCCCCTTCAGGTTGTTCAGTGTTATAGTCACTTCTCTTCGGTTGACAGAAATCAATAACAAAATCAATAACAACCATAATGTAACACGAACTTTATGTCAACTTGAATAACGATCGGCAAACAACTATATGGACAATACGATCTACGTTCTACCGGGGCGCTCTGGCAGTGGTTCGATCACTGCATTGGCCGAGAAAGTTCATCCAGATTTTCCGGCGTGGTTCCCCGTTGTCAGTGATGCAGGACTGAGGGCCTGACAAGGACAGTTGTCTAGTCATTCGGATGAAGCGAAAAACCGAGGTCCCGTGTACACATTGGCGTGCACGTAAAAGATCCCTTGAAGTTGGAATTCGATATAAGAGTAGGCCGTAGTATCGCTGTCCGGGCAAAAATTTCCCTTATACCACACAGTATGGCGTATGCCCGTCTTCATTAGCCCAGTTCGGAGCAAAACAGTACGACGTTAAACCCCATTTTATTTCATTTTCTCGCTCTAGCAGTAATTTGTTGACATTCATTGGAGGGTGGGATTGTGGATGGCGCCCTAAATTTGGAATCGTCCCCTATTCACAGCTTCTAGATCCGCTACTGCACAAACGACAAAATAATAATAAAAAAACTCGTGGAGAATAGACTATACAGGGGCAAACGACTGTTAATTCGCATGGGCTTTTAGACCCATTTTCGCCTATTTTAAGGTTTCAAAGAATAGAGCCATAGGCCCTTTAAATATGCTTGATGTATATTGTGTTGTCTTTTTTCGCTTTTTTCGAGAGCCTTGTCTGCAATTGATTCAGATGCTTAAATCGTTGATACATATCGGTTACCCCAATATAATTAGAAAATTGGCCAATGCAGTCAAGGTATTATTAGATTTATGTGTATTTTACAAGTGTTGAAAAGTGAATGAATCGGGTTTGGCGTATTTCCCATTTTTAGACTGGCATCCGTTTATTTTTATTGTGGTCATGTATGCAATACTATAGAGGAGAATTTAGCCCGAACAGTGTAATTTCCGCCTATTCTTCCCATCCTGACTCAATCTGTTTCACAGACGATTACGAAACTAAATGTCAATGGTAGAAAAGTCGAAACTGCTCAAGAGGGTCTGCATTGTTGTGTAACAAACGAACCACAACAAAACAAATCGAAAACAATGCCAACCTTGTTTTGACGGAAAATTTTACGAAACTACGTTTCTAGAATAAAATTCGTCAAAACAAATTTGTAATTTATGTTTTGGTATTTCTGGTATTCCATTGAAGTAGATCTATATTAAAATGTGGAGGTGGGCGTCTTATCGCACGAGTCTTTGATAAAAACAGATCTCAGATCTCAGAGTCTTTAATAAAAACAGATCTCAAATCTCATCACTTGCTGTGTTAATGATTGTGTTTAAGTAGATCTCCCGCCGAATATCTTTATATTACATATTATTACGTGCTTGTTTTATACTTTGATCAAATACTCGCTCAAACAGCTCCAAGGTGGTCTTTCTATGTGTTTGGAAGATAGTTTATAATTTTAAGGAAACAAAATCATTCGTCGCGTACGCTTTTTACGCGTCGTTACAAAGTTTATCGAAGGGAATCTAAAAGCGCACCTTGTCCATCTTTTGGTCCTTGCACCCGACTTTTTTATTTTCAGCGCATATCTTGGCAACATTTCAAATAGTGTATTCATTAGAAATATATATTGACACGCAGTCGAAACTTATATTGTACGGTATCGCGAATGTTCGCGGACGTTGTGCGAACTACAGAGGTGAGTGGGCTATGAGAATTTGTCGCGAACCTTCCAAACGTTGCTATAAAGGCCCAGTTATTCGTCGGTTAACAGGACAGTTACACATCGTACTAGCTTATATCTGCTTATTGATTTCTGGATTAATTGCGTTACATGAATGCCCTGGGTTATAATTTTTTCATTCATCCATTAATTCATTCATTCAGTATCCGTGTATTTATAATGCGAGTAATTCATTCCCAAGCGTTTCATCTGATCACCGTGATGAAATCTTTATCGTCTAATGTAAATGAAAATAAAAAATAAACAGACTTATATAGACAGACTAAACATAATAAACATTGTATACAATTTTTTCTTAGCAGGGGGGTGTTTAAAAAAAGGTTGCTTTATTTTTTTTTTTACGCAGTTTTCTTTTCAAAGCGATAAAGACGTCCGACGTTTTCACTAGTGTAAAAATCTTTAGAAATTTGTCTTCTTCCATAAGCATCAATATAATTATGACAGTTTTATCGTGAATGGACTTAGAACAAACGCGGTACTGTATATAGTGTCGAACCTTTAACAAAGCCATCTCAGTGTAGGATGGCCTTAATAATTCACAGGTAAAGCGAGAAGAATTGATAGTATTATAGAGACATAGAGTTGAACTGTGGGTGGCCTTTTCGGTAGTGTATTACTTTACTATTATTGTTCACATAAACTAGTAAACTTGGCTGATAATATAAATCTGTTTGTGAGACAAATTTGATTTAAGAATTACCTAGATCTTCGTGTATATATAGACCGACTAACCGCAATCATGTGTATGTATTGTTATAAACTCATTCTACCTGAGAAAATCTAATATGTCTATATGAGTAGGAGGAACGGCTACTCGCATCATTGGACCTTAAGAGAGAAAGGAGCATGTCGCCTAAATGAAATTCCTAACTTTGAAATGACGCAAATCTATAATGATACATTACTAAAGGATAAAATATTTAAAATCATTCAGTATTAGGTATTTAATTAAAATTCTCAAAATTTAATGAAATGTAAATACATGTATTGATTCACTCCCACATAACCCAATCTTTTTAATGAGTTGGATAAATAAAATAAGTCATATCGAACTTGCCACTGCGTGGGTTGGGGGGGGGGGGGGCTCTGAATAATATATCATTTTTTTCGTGTTTAGCTTTTACCTTTATATACATGTAGGTCTACCGTTACATTGCCAGGCGTTGGCGTGTCAGAAGCCACTACCAATTGTCTATGATGTCCTCAATTTTTAATGAGAGAAATAAATATATAGATCTATTCATACTTACCACAATCAGAAAATTTAAACATATTCTTTTCTCGCTTTTTACGGGCTTGTGTCACTTCAAAGCACCAGATAAACACTACTGTCATTGCCAATAACCATTTCATATAAGAAGCCATTATTTTTGTCTCTTATCAATAGTCTATTTCTTCTTTTTTAGGGTCACTCAGATATAACTTTCTTTAACAGTTTAAAAATTGGTTGGTTTCCATTTTCAGAAAATGTTGTCATAGTGTTATTATTTCAGTTATCCGTATAAAAAGTCGCCATCTTAAATTTCCAAGATAATAAAATACAGCTTTTCCCACTAAACGCACAGAGCAGTTAGACGCACAAAGTTTTATTCAAATTAACGGAAATAAAAAAGATATAGCTTACAACTTTTATAATTATCTTATCAGAAATAATCCCGCGCAGAGCAGCCGGTCACTGTTTTTTAATATTAATTTTCGGAAGTTTCCTAAACTAGTGTCGCACTTGCTTTGTTGAATGCACGTACACCAATTCATATAAAGTTAAGTTCTAAATCATCTCAAACGTCAGGCCCTGCTGCCACTAAAACTGATTAAAGTATTAAGGAATGGGGGAGAGAGCTGCCGTTTTATACCAGCGATACACCTTTACCGCACACGACGACGTCCTCCTTGCTAATTCTGTTTTGTCATTACTTGAAATGAATTCACTCAGGTGATTGTGTGTTGATTATGTTTATTTTTTCAGTTCTCAAGATTGTTTCAACGTTTTTCCCCAATCAAACTTTACCTTTCATTGAGAAGAGATGATATATTTCTGGAACTTAATCGATCACCAAGAAATCTTGCTAATTAAAACACAGCCCAATATCTCCCTCGTTCTCTCTTTTCACCATTCTTCTTGATTGTAAAAGTTGACAAATTGCTTTTTATGGATACCTCCCAGAGTTTGCGGATCAAGATCAGCTAAATCACTTTGCTAATTGTTTATTACTTGTTCGTAAAATAACACAGTTTTTACCACAACTTCTTTCACTGCCAGAAATTGAGGAAAAGTTCACAAATCTAATCACCCGAAACGTAAACGTTTTTCAAAAGAAAACAAAACTCGTTTTTTTCTTTGAAACTCCAAGTTGCGTCTAAATAAATCTTTCGAGTATTCTTTCTTGTTGAATTTTCTTAAAGCGAAAAAAACAACTTTTGGTCGATCGTCAAAGAAAATATACCTATCAAGAATTTGTATTCCAATTTTGATTGATATATTCCATAGATTTTTGTATAAAATTAAACAATACAATTAAGGTTAATTTTCCCCTAGATTCCTATACCTCCCGCGAATAATTCCTAGTAGTTTAGTACACCACGTTATCATTAAACTAAGGGGATACGTGTTATAGCTACCGGTTTTTGCGATAAGTCGAATCCATCAGTGGTCACTTCGCCATACAATACTCTACTCGACTATACGCTATATGCCTTCTACACATTGCACCAAAAGACCACCCACATCGACCTACGGTATGCAGGCGGTTGTATAAGGGTTTTGAATGAAACTAGCGAGAGAGGATGAATGGCCGAGTAAATTTGGGGGATTAGGATACTCTAAACTCTTGTCTCAATTGTTTATAGCTCGTAAAATGTCAGTTTCGGGGAGCTTAAAGTTCGAGTAGGGGGTAGAAGGGGAAAGAAGTGGATTAAAAACTAGTATTTAAGTGGATGCTCGAGGCATCTGGGATGTTAAATGTCCGTCGCTAACGAGGATGAAGAATAACAAGTTTGAGAGGCAACTAGCGAAGTAAATTTAACTTAAAAAGCCTTAAAGGGGTTTATTTATAACCTGAAAATAAAGACATACACAAATTATATCAGGCGCCCCAGAAAAAAACTAGTACATTATTTAAAGCGAAATAAGTCAAAAAGAATCATTAAAAATACATTATGCAAGAGCTAAATCTGCCTATTGCAGGTCTTTCTTTAGGCCCGAAATGTTATATAAACTATTAATTAGACATTAATTAACTTATCCAGACGAAAATCAACTCTCGATGGCATCGGATACTCGAGATTTTAACTAGATTAGAACGGTTCGCCATTTAAAAATTTAATTTAAAAATGGGAAAGAGGCTAAGTCTCGAATATACCAGTGCCTTGGTTACCATTGTGCAGACATCTTGTCAAAACTACCAACAGTGATAACTTGGCTCAGAATGAAGTAATTTGAATGAAATTTTCAATATTTTCATTTTACATTATCTTTTTTTGAGCTATTATAGCAAGAATGGCTAGCTTTTTTTTTATCTAAATCTTACATAATGTATCTTTAACTTTTCACATTTTGTACATTACGGTTGTTTGACGGCTTAACTCTAAATTGTACATAGGTCTATCAGGCAAATATGAGTTTTAAAAAAGAATGTCAAATTATGTTTACATAAACAAATGGTCAACATGTCCCACGTCTTGCACAGAGAGGGTTTAACGTCCACTCGACGTCGACAATCCAGGCCATTTCGGGACTAACGCATGGTTCAATTAAATTTCAATAATTCGCTTGCGTGTAGGGGTCTTAAGGAGTGTGAGGAAACCGGAGGACCCGGAGAAAAACCACGAGGTTGGACAGGCGACCCTACTCCTTGTCACGTACAACCGGGGAATCGAAACCAGACTTTATGACACAACGCGCACACGCTAACCATTCACCCCCAGCCCCCCTTTGGAATATATTTTAAGTTTCGTCAAAATCGGATAAAAAATTGTGCCCTCTAGAGGATCCACAACACCTCAAAATCGATATGTTAAGTCACAATCGGACGACGGACAGAGACAACAATACAATACATCCACATGAAAATGTGGGCGTTTGAAAACTTAAAATAAATCTACTGTGTTAGTGGCGGTCCACTGTAGCTCTGTTCGGTATGGCTCTGGCCCACTAACCAAGTGTAACGGATTCGATTCCGGTGTTGGCCACGAAAGTTTCTCTGGAGTTTCCAGCTTGGTTCCCCCTTGTCTGTGGTGCAAGGTCAGATAGCGTGGCAAAGAAAGGCGTCTAGTCCTTCCTTTGGATCGGAAAACCAAGGTCTCGTTTATACCAATGGGTACACTTTAAAGACCCATTTCAGTTGGAAATCAAATTAAGAGCCGTCCGTAGCGCCACAATCAGCCCCAATCTCCCCCAAAGCACACCGCCTGGTGCGGTAAAGTGGGACGTTTAATCTTCATTTCATTTCGTGTGATTGTATAGAGAAGTATAGAGAATGACTATTTATTTATTGAAATTGATGATAAAATCTTGCAACTTTTTTTTGTATAAATATAACTTGCATAGTCATCTGTTTATGACATTTGGAATAATATAAAATTGTATATAAATATTTTTCTAAATTACACTGTTTTCCATATGAATATAGTTTCATACGCCTCTAAAGGGACAAAATGCCGAAGAACCTATACCAGACTGATATTGGTGGTAATGACGCTATTTATAAAGAACCTGTATTATAGTATAGCCCGAATCCCTTTGTACTACCCCAATGGAAAGCATCAGTAAAAGTCCACGGGCCATCAACCGTATTTCCACGATGTTTGCTGTAAAATGTCACGTGGCCGTAAAAATCCCAGAAAGTTGGAAAACATTTACCACCCTGTCACATGTAAAATTGCAATGGTCAACATCAATTTGAGACGTTTCAACGTTGAGGATCTGCTGAACTGCATTTACAAAGCTGCTTGTTGTAGTATTTGCCTTCCTCGGACTATTCATTTATTCATACGAATAACAACTACTAAAATGGACTGAGTCACTTTGCTAGATTTAAAAAAACAACAGAAATTGACTGAGATTATTTGACTAGTCACCACCAAGAAGAAATTATCTAAATTCGGGCGCCAAATTACCGCTAACTAGGAGATGTCAGGTTCACCTCCTGGTGTTGGGCGAGAATGTTCCCCGTGAACCGAGATCGAGTGTACACATTGGCGTGCACGTAAAGAACCATTGATAGTTGGAATTCGAAATAAGAGTAGGCGTAGAGTCGCTGTCCTGACGTTGAATCTCATTTTCATTTCATTTCATTTATTACCGAGTTATTGATCCTGACTACGAAAGCGTGAGCAGGTTATACAGACAAAATTTAATTTCGATACCGGTACTTCAGTTGCCACTGCAAATAGTCGTGTTTTAGTATCACCTATAACTCACTTTGAGAACCATGGAGAATAAAATTAAACTTGTCTTATTATCATCAGTAGGGAAAAAGTTTATTTTAATCATGGACAATACGTGTCCGAGCGATTAATTGTCATATCCGCGTCTTCTGATCTCAAATTATAAAAGAAAGTTCTGGTCTTTTTCGTGTATAATGTGTAAAACGTGTTGGATATGTGTGCTAAACTTCTAAGAAATTCCTATGACGTATAAAATAGAGACTTAAAGAACACTTATGTGCTTGAATCCTTTGATTATTTCTGAAATAGTTTTCTTTCAGTATATAAACAGACTTAAAGAGACATCTTGATTTACTCTCTGATATCACTTACTTTGTGGAACCGTTGTCGCGGTTTCACTCGGTACCAGATTTAGACCGGTTCTTTTCTCGAGTGAAACATCGGTAGGCACCGATTTTATCGAGAACCGTTTTATTCAATTGTTTCAGGTCTTTGTCTTTCTGTAACGTCCACAACTTCTAATTTTTTATTATTAGAATAAACGTTTCTTTTGTATTTATTTATTTATTTATTATTAGGCCTAATGAAAATGTATTGTATGTTATGTTGATCATCCACTTTACTTGTGGAAATGTCAAGGTTTCGGTCTCTTTTTTTATAAAGTATATCGATATAGCTAAACTGTCAGACTGATCGTTAGAGAAGAGTCGTTTACAATTGTAGGGGATTACGATATTGTTTACCATTTACAAAATATATTTACATTATCAGTAGTTGGAGGTGATCATGTAGTTATAATACTTTAATAAGAAGAATTCCATGGATATCTGGAAATCTTTTAAACCTCAATTCTTATTGGGCGTCGTTTAAATGAGCCTCATCGAGAATGGTGGGGGTGGGGATATTTCAAGTTGTTCATGGTAGACATTGGTCCTTACGCTATTACTTAT